ACTTTCAGATACTTCTGTTGAATAAAATCTTTCATGATGTGATAAAAATATGAAATATACATTAAACATTTTTAATGGATGGTTTTAATCTCAGGTGTTTTTCATAATGTTCTGTGATGTCATCAGGCGGTACCGTACAACCTTCAGATGTACATCGTAGGGATGGGTACCTTTGACATTTGAATCGATCCGGTACTAATTCCCGGTACCTACGAATCGATACCGGTACTTAACGGTACCAATTTTCGATACTTTTGAGTGTTTAATATTTTTAATTTTTTTTAAATTAAATATATATTTTTCTCAATATATAACCATATTTGATAAATATCACGATAAATAACATTCAACTGTTTGTATTTTAACATCGTCCTTGTAGTTTTATAAGCTGATAATTAAACTGAAGCAAACATCTTTACTGTGAACTAAATTTACTGTATCTTCATTCCTTTTGCCATCTTTTTTCATTTGATTTTTCCTACTGGGAAGTTAGAATTTCCGAGGAGAAAGCGAACGCACCATTAGCTGATAACAATGGTAGCAATGGAAGCTAACATACCAAGCTAACATTATCTTAAACAGTTTATTTAGCTGCTGGAGCAGATTAAAACGATGATGCCTCACACTTAGATCGTTGTCACTGGTTTCATCTTCACCCAATCACCCGTCGTATTTAGTAAAGTGAAGCCAAACTTTAGAGCGCGTTCATGTTCTTCTAGTCAGGAATTCGGAGTTCCGAGGAGAAAGCGAACGCACCATTAGCGAAACGGAAGATAACATATCAAGCTAATTATATTTACCTACCGGAGCAGATTAAGATGAGGATGTCTCACTTAGATCGTTGTCGCTGGTTTCATCATCACCCAGTTACCCATCACATTTAGTGAAGTGGACCCAAGCTGTAGCGTGCGTTCTTTCTACCATGCTGCTCAGTTTACAACTGGTTCGCAGCGAGCGACGACATAACGCTCTTGCGCATGCGCAGCTGTCTTGGCAAGTTCTCTTTATGATGGACGGGTACCGAAACGAGGCACCGTTTGAAATGACGTGAATCGGTGCTCGGTCGGTACTTTGGAATTCGGTCGGTACCTTAAAAAGTACCGAATTCTGTACCCATCCCTATACATCAGGGCATCCCCCCCTCACACAAAGTTGTCCCCCCCACAAAAGTTATTGTAAACACATAAATGCTATCAGTAAACCCGTATTGTCTTCTAAAACTACAACGTAAAAGCTAGTCTGCAAATACAAAACAGTGTGTGTGTGTGTGTGTCCCCCCCATTCCTCAACTTGGTACGGTCGGTCCACACACGCTGTTTCCAACGGGCGGGGCTGCTGGTGTCTGTACAAGATCTGCTCGGGGTCCGTCGACTGCCGATGACGTCAAAGTAGTTGATTGGCTGAACATGAACCTTACGGAATTACGTAATCACGTTACGTTGGTCCAGGCAAATCTTTCTGTTGGAAAGATGGACAACTTTTACAAAGAAATCCATCATTACCTCTTTGAAAATACACTTTTAGCATAGAGCTGCATGTACATTAGGGCTGAACGATTAACTGCATGTGTAATTAAATGTGACAAAAGGAGATTTTCTAATCGCAAAGGCTGCAATTTGGCAGGGAGTGGTTAGCACAATGCTAATATACGTGTAAAAACCCATTGGAATGCTAATGCTAATATCACCGATTACATTATTACAAATTATGAATTAGAAACGTGCCAAATGATTACATTTGGAGTCTAATAGAAAGTAAAACTACCATCAATCAAATAAGTACAGACAGGTATTTTAGTAAAGCCAGAAAACTTTTAACTCCAGAGTTTTGGCTAGCAGCTATGAGCGTAACTGAACTACACATGGACAAGACGTCAAAAACTCTAAACACAAAATACTTCAATAAACGGGACACACTTCTTTCCTGCAAATACAATTTCACAGGTGTTGCTAATACCTATGATCCTTCAAGGGATGTGCTCAAAGAGGAGTTCAACATTATGAATACAATATAGTGTTTTATTTTACAAATACCATTATAAACACAAACTTACGTCTTAAGAAACATTATTTTAATAACGAAACTGCTAAATTCTTTCCAACAGTATAGATGTGTAGTGTATTTTGTCCGAGTGGGTTTGCCGTACTTTGACGCCATCGGCAGTCGAAGGACCCCGAGCAGATCTTGCACCCGAGCAGATCTTGCACCCGAGCAGATCTTGCACCCGAGCAGATCTTGCACCCGAGCAGATCTTGTACCCGAGCAGATCTTGTACCCGAGCAGATCTTGTACCGACACCGGCTCTGCCCGCCTGCAGGCTCACAGGAGTCGGGAATCAAAAAGCCAGCAGTTTCCAGCAGTAAGTCAATAATCACACGCTTGTTCTACAAATTTAAATATGTATGTCAAATGTGGTCATAAATGTCAAACATAGACACCGATGATCTTTAGATTTTGATCACCGGTCGGAGGTCCCTTTATGACAGACCACCACCACTACAGTAAAAAAAAAAAGTGGTCACTTCATGTTCGCTGGTCATTCCAGGATTATTCCGCTATTATTCCATTCACTAAGGTGATCAAAAGTTCCTTTTTCCGGACACGTACGCTTTCATGATCGATGGAAATGTCCGTGTTTCATCCTATTTAGCAGATGAATATGGTAGAATCAAAACTAACTGGTCCGATGTATGGAATACCACAGCGTTTAACCGCTCTTATCCCGTCTTCCCCAGGCTCTGCAGCTGTTTACAATATGTCAAAGTGCAGGTGCACCGTGCAGCTTAGGGATGAACTGGTAGCAGCAAACGTGTGGTGGAGGCACGTTGCTCGAAGCTCTCAGTGTAAAACATAGAGCCAAAGATCCCGTTGGCCACACAGACCCAAAAACACTATGAAAACTGAGAAAAGTGAGAGATCAATTAAACTGAAAGATAAACTATAATGTATGTGTTTAGTGTATTTGTAAAGTAAAAGTTTTTTATTTTTATTATTAAAATGAAACAAATATTTCAAGAATATATTTTTAGATTTTGTGCATGTTTTCGTTCAGTAGGACTTAGATAAAGTTATTAAATATTACAGAGTTATTCTCTAATAGCCTACAAACATTTCTATGATTTATTAAAGAGATTTCAGTCATTTTGATACTTGACTTGTGAAAGCTGATTTGAAGTTTGTTATTTTTTCTAGCCATATTTAGAAGGAAAATTTCAAATATATTAAAATCAATATGGAACTATTTGGATTTTAGTAGCTTTCATGTTATGTGATTTAATAAAATTTTAATTTGACATGTTATGTTCTCTCTCTTTGTTGTGAAAAAGTTAGATATGTTTTAGTACCTAAAATTAATGCTTTGCATCCGTCCACACGTGTAGCTGCTGGTCAGCTAATGGCCGTGTCATTTCAGGACATGTTGCTTCAACTATTAACGATCTACGTTTAAATCTTTATTCTGAATTGCTTATTCCGTTTTAGGCCACAGTCTTGTTATTGAAATGAAAACAAAAAGAAAGGACGCTCATGGAGATGTACAAAATTGGCAAGATATTATTGTTGATCAATATTCTCCAGCTCCGTTCTAATGACAATATTGCATCTGTGTATGTGTTGCTGTCCAACTGTCAGCAGACCAGGTCAGTTGAAATGGCAGAGAAATGAAAAACGGCAGACATCAGGTCGTTTTTTTAATGCTTCAGAACGTCAAGTAAGTAGAAACTTGCATTTTGATAAAGACATCTAAAGAAATGAAATGAAATGCCTATGAAACTGTTTCTAAATGGTTTCATTAGGCAAAGTCCAGTCACTCACAGGCAGCCAGAGCCTGTCAGACACAGGCACAGAGTCACAGGTCCGTCTCTTATAAGGACATACAGTGTTGTATGTAGAGAGCATTTTTTTCATGCCCCCCCCCCCCCCCCCCCCCAAATTGAAATGGGATTTCCGCCCTTGCATAGATCCTTAGAAGGTTTTATCAGCAGAAATCCTGCAGGCTGAAGAAGTAGAGATGTTATGAATACATTAGACATTTTCTCTCGATCATCCATGCAGGTGAAAGTCAAGAGTTAGAATTTGGTGCAAAAGTTCATTTATTTCAGTAATTCAACTTAAAAGGTGATACTAATATATGAGATGGACCGGGGTGCCTGATCCTGGTCCTGGAGGGCCGGTATCCAGCATGTTTTAGTGGTTTCTCTGTTCCACTGGTTGAATCACCTGTGCAGCAGCTCATCGGGCGCTGCAGAAGCCTGCTAGTCACCGGCTGATTGAAATCAGGTGTGTTGAAGCGGGGTTAACACTAGAACTTGTTGGATTCCGGCCCTCCAGGACCAGGACTGGGCACCACTGAGATGAAAGTGAAATATTTCAAGCCTTTATTTGTTATTTGTGACGATTATGGCTGAAAACCCCACATTCACAATCTCAGATAATTAGAAAATTGTGAAAAGGCTCAGTATTCTAGACTCCATGTCAGCTGGATTACTGACATAAATGAGTCTTTGCACCATATTGTCGTTTTTCCAGTTTCACCTCTACATCCCAACCTGGAGCCAGTCATGGAATTTTCTATGTAACGTCCAACACCATGTTTGCTTTGATTTGAATCGAGTGTATGGTATTTTTCAGGTTATTTTCCAGTTGTAGGAGCAGACATACAAAGCGTTATTACAGCGTTATACACAGTATATTTATGTGCACCAAACAGTTGTGTAAAATGTTTTGATTTGAAACTATTGGTGCAGACTGGAAGGAAACCAAGAAAAGGACACCCTCTGCTGTTCAGATGAGTTTAATGTACCCTACACTCTGTGTGGCTTTCTGCTCCAAATGGGAAAGAAGAGAGTTTTTACCATCAGACTTATTAATTAGCTGTGAGTGAGTGTCTAGTTGGTTCATGGCTCTCTTTTGTAAACAAGATGAAGCTGCAGTGTTGCTCAGTTGGTAGCAGTTACAGAACTCTCTGATGTGCTAGTTATCAGATAAAAAACACACGAAAATAAGAGTTTGATTGTTTTATTTGTAAAATATTCACATTTAAAATAGTTGTGACACCATCTGCACAGAGGCTCACAGCGCTGACAAACACACGGTTTATTCAGTGCACATGCATCATGCTGGGTGCAAAGCCCTTTACAATAACCACGGCTCTCTGGTGAAGCTCGACTTTCCGAATCAACCTTCGGGCTTCAAATGGCTAACAAGCTAAACATGAGCTATTACACCAATGCAGCGCAGCAACTCACACCCGCACTCATCAGCACACTCTACCTCTGTCTCTCTCTCACACGCACGCACGCACGCACACACGCACACACACACACACACACACACACACACACACACACACACACACACACACACACAGAGCAGAGTCGCTTTTTGTCATTCTGCTGTAAACAACCACTCTGAACTTTATTTATATGTCACCACTTTGCAGTAAAGACACAAACATTGTTGCTAGTCCACCCCACCTGTTCTCCATCTCCTACCAAACACGTCACAACATCTTAGTTTTACATCTGCAAGAGAATCAGGAGTTCCCTCCTTGCTGATCTACTTTTCCTTCTTGTTCTATTTGACAAAGTGCAGGGCCTCGGCCGCCACCACGGAGCCTTTGCTGCTGTCGAGGCTGGTTACCAACTTGAAGCCGGATTTTAAAGCTAGCATCACCGTTTCTAGTTTCAGACAGTCAAGCGTGCACAAGAAGGTGCTGTCCTCCTTCAGAACGAGCCGCGAGCCAGGCTCCGACTTGATGAAGTGGCGGAACTGGATCACGTTGGACGACACTACGAACTCTTCTGGAAAGCCATCCAGGCGGCTCTTGGAGATCTGCACCAGCCGTGCCTTCACCTTCTCTATGAAGGTGGCGTCGCTGCAGTACACCTTGAGGCCCTGGGACCTGTCGTGGCTATCTGTCACCTCCAAAAACGCGGGCTCTCGCTGCGCGGCTCGTTGGCTTTCCCATTCGATGACTGCTTCAACCAGTTCACTCAACCGGTAAAAGTCAGCTTCCCGCCGCAGAAGCCCCGCCTCCCGAAAGTCATCAGGTAGCTGCAGCTCTCCGGTTCTGAGATAGTTGAGAACATGACGAAAAACTGGGCCATCTCTGTCAATGAAGGGGTTACCCATAGAGTCGGTGTGCTGAACGGGCTTTTTACCATTGGCCAGCTCCTCCAGGAAGGACCCCAGGTGCTTGGAAAGGGTGGTCCGATGGGCGGTGTAAAGGAACCCCCCTACATTTAGGGTGATGGTACCTGAAGAGGGCTTCTTGAAGCTTTTGCTGGGCTGCAGCAGGTCTGGGTTGATGTGCCTCAATTCACTTTCCATCCTTCTGAGGTTCCATTCCATTCTCCAGTCACCCCCTCCAGCCTCAACCCAGCCTCCTCCTTAAAGCTGGCGTCCCTGCTCGTTTGGAATCGGGTCCGTGTTTTGTCTTCCCGGTTGAATGTTGGTCCTGCGGCGCAGCCGGGGGAGCGGAGCGTGTTGTCAGCTGTCGCGCAGTGAGAGGAGAGGAGTTTGAGGGAGTGTGGCGGCTGATGGGTGAGCGCTGTCTGGCAGAGGAGCTCCAGTGAGGTGGGAGCTGCAAACAGACTGGCTCTGTGTGCTGCTCCGTGTCCCTCCTCTCTCCCTCTGTCTCTCTTTAAGAGTGGGTGTGCAAACGGCGTCACACACAGGGAGAAGGATGTGAGCAAATAACAGAAGAGCGTGGATTCTTTCTGCCTTCTTGTCAGCTCTTTATTGTCTTTGGGGGCTTAAAAAAGAACGGCTGAATAAATACCTCTCACGCCAGATGGAGAGGGGGCTTTTATCGTTTTTGTGCTGTGAGGTTGTCAGACTTGTGCAAAGTCTGAATGCGGGACTCCTTTTTCAGCCAAACCCACTTGTTTATCACATTACTCAGTGAACCTGAATCTGTTTGAGTTGGACGCCAGATCAATGTCTCGAGGTTTGGCATTCTTTGGTTGTGAAGGGGAGAAGTGGGCAGCTTCAGCTCTTTTTATGCAAATCTCGTCTTCTCAAACGGTTCTGTTTTTAGTGAGCGCTGCCGTGCCGTGCGTCGACCGTGTGTTTTGTGTCTGAACGTAACAGACCAACTACGGCTGATTGCTGCCCGGTCACGGAGGACAGGCTTTTAATCAGTTATTGTTTACGTACTTACTGCAAACAGGTGTGTGTGTGTGTGTGTGTGTGTGTGTGTGTGTGTGTGTGTGTGTGTGTGTGTGTGTGTGTGTGTGTGTGTGTGTGTGTGTGTGTGTGTGTGTGTGTGTGTGTGTGTGTGTGTGTGTGTGTGTGTGTGTGTGTGTGTGTGTGTGTGTGTGTGTGTGTGTGTGTGTGTGTGTGTGTGTGTGTGTGTGTGTGTGTGTGTGTGTGTGTGTGTGTGTGTGTGTGTGTGTGATTTTAGTTTCAGACTGAGACAAGCTAGGGTTAGTCATTTTTTCATAAGTAACTTCTAGCTGCGATCATGACATTAAGCACCAACGACTCGAGCTGCAAGCTACATCCTGCGTTGTGTAAAACTTTCCTTTTTTTCTGTTTTCTTTTACTTCAGAAGATGAAGAGTTGTCTTGAAATTGTCCGACGTTCCTGCCGATGGCCTGCATCTATCTTCAGATTAGTTTCTGACCCAAAAAGCTGTTCTGCTGCAGGAAATGGTTTGTAACCTACTTTAGTCCTGGTTTTTATACCAGGGAGTTGATGTGCATCAATTTATCAGCACTTAAACACAACAGTTTGCCATTGCAAGGGAACTGAGATGTTTGAATACAGACATTAAAAAAACTTTATAAAATATCTGGAAGGATGCTTATGCAAGTATAGTCACAGCATCTCTGTGCATCTACTTGATATAAATGAATCTAGAGTCAAGTTTGTGCTAGGACTGCAGGACGCTTAAAAAGAAGATAATTATGTCCATCTGAATAGTTTTGTGAACAGATGGCAGGAGAAGACTTCAGCTGTTAGTCTGTTGCCTTCCCAAGTCCTAATCCAAACTTAACTAAAGCTCAAACGTGATTTTTTTCTGCACAGATTTAACTAAAGGGATCTTTGTGCAAAATAGCAGCACACATTTTGCTCTTTGTGTATATATTCCTGTAAAGAAAGTAGCTGTATTCATGGTGTTCACTTGCAGAGCACACTAATAAAGCAGCAGGGTGAAAGATTAAACACAGATGCTGTTTTCTTTTACATCACGCATGACCATGTTTAGAGCAGAAATGTTGTGTTTTGGGGTGATGGGGTGTGTTGATCAGTTGAATCAGCTAATCTGGTCTGAAGGAGGAGGAGAGGCACAGATATTTAGTTTTTACTTCAATAATGGTTCAATAAATGTCTGCAGCACTGGCTTTTAGCGCCCCCTAGTGTCTGTTTGTGGAAACAAAAGTGAAACTTTTCTACTCTGTGAGTTCTTTAACCTGATGGGCTCGACACACGGGAGGCGACAAACGACCGCGATCAGCGAAATTTGTCGCTGTCTCTTTTATTACCGGACACATGGGAGGCGATCCGCGGCAGCGGCCAGCGGCAAAGCCGTCTACGCGTTCTGTTCCGTGGCGAAATCGAAACTTCCGTTTTGTTTGGCTGTGTCAGGTTGGAGGGAATTAAGGTTATTTAAGCGGTTCAGAGTTAATAAAGTGGTAGATATGATGTTTCACAAGGTGCTGCTAGAGCTATGTGAAATCTTACTTCTGATTTTACTTTATGAACATAATAATAATCAACTTCTCCTTCATGTTTGCTCGGAGGTGTACGGAGCATCCTGTCCGCTCATTGGTCAGTGAATGAAACCTCCGTTGATTGGTCCTCGTCCGAGCGACAGCGATGAAAAGTTGAAAATGTTTCAACTTTCTGGGATCGCGTCGCTGGGTCGCCTGTGCACGACACGTGCACGAGCGCAAAATTTCACACGCACGTTTTTCGCATTTCGCTTGATAGGAGGGAGACCCACGATTATCGCTTTGTCGCGCTTGTCTCATTGAAAATGAATGGAGGGGAGGCGATGTTGCCTCCCGTGTGTCGAGCCCATAACAGCTGAAATTTCTTCCCCTTCTTAGTTTCCACAGGAGTGATTCATCACTGTGTTCATTATCTAAAATATACAGAAAACGTCCTGGAAGCAGACTCCAGCGCCAACAGGGTCCGGACTGGCAACTCAGAAGTTGCAGGTGCGGTATTCTGGCAACAGAAAATGGTAGGGGTCTGTGAAGGGTTATTTCAGCACATGCTGGTTTGAGAAAATAATTAAAAAAATATGAATAAGTTGAGTAGTATCCCTTTAAAAGAGCACACTGGCTTGTGTTTATGGGCAAGTACAAACCACATCATTAAAATTTCATAAAAACAGCCAGAAAAAGGTGCTGCTCTCCAGCCCTGTGGAGGAACACGAGTGTGGCTTCTTGGATTCATATGAATCAAGGAGTGCCTGCATGCAAAAGGCTATAAAGTACTTCCTCAGAGCTGTTGCTTTAGATTGAGGTGATCCAGGTAAGCACACCGTTCAAACTGCTTAAATTGCTTTGATTTATTTCTTTTCTTTATGTGGGAGAAGATCCCAGTTTGGGAACTCAATGCGTCTCTGCAATGATTTTCATACATGATTAGTTGCATAAACCTGAACCACGCTCAATTGGAATTGCTAACGAGGGCAAAATGCAGCAATCGAGGATTGTGGGAGATCTGACCTGTTTTCACTCTCCTATTGAATAAAATGACCTCATTGAGGACCGTTGTCCGTTGAAGCTGTTTATTCTCCTCTTGATGGCAGCGTTCGTGTTTGGAACTAATTTTTCCAAAATGCTGCGAGTGAGGACTCCTCTCTCTGTTAGCAGTGGTGAATTATTCATAGTGTGGCTCTAAGAGCTTGTGGTTTTAACATGGAGTCACTGACTGCTGCGGAGCTGGCATGGCAACCACTTAAAAAGGGCCTTGCATGAGCACAGAGCTGTCAATCTCTAGCTTCATTTATTATGAGAACCGTGTACAGTACAGAGTCTGTTCGTGTGTCAGGGGTGAAACGTCTCTCAGTAGATCAAAATGTTCTCAATTCAGTATTTATTATTTTTTATGTTTTTACAGAATCCACCCTGGGGTAAGATTAGGCTGTAAGCACGATGAATGCTTTAGAAAGCTGTTTTTTTAGCTCTTTATTAGATTTCTAATTTAAAGAGCAAGTAGCACCTAAATTAACTTGTTTTTGCTGATAACCTGTATAGACGAGTGTCTAATGGTGCTGTACGCATGTAATCATTAGTGTGGCAGTTAAGTGCAACTTACTTTAAATTTAATATTTCAGTTCAGTGCCTCAGTGCCGCTCTCTCGGTCCACCAGGAGATGCCGCTTTCAGAAGCTTTTTCCTAACAGGAAGTGTGGAAGAAATACGTCCCCACCCAGGCCTTGACCCTCACTTTAAATAAATACAACCCCAGATGAATGTGCCCCATTAAAGTAACACACAGCTGTTTCCTGCTGCTCCCCTTACTAGTTGAAAGTAGAATTACAACCGGTATAAATAACCCTGCAGCAGCCTGCTGTAACTAGCACCAACAACTAGGGATGATCCGACCACGTTTTTCGATTCCGAGTCATTTGATGTTTAGAATCTGCCGATACTGAGTCTGGACCCGATACTTTACAAATGCGTTAAGAAAAAAGAACACAATAGAGTTGTCCTTTAAGTTTTGAATCATTATTGAATTTATTTCTTCCTGTATTTGTCATTTCTTTAGTTTTTCTGCCATAAAACATCACTCGTTTAGGAAGAAATATGTAAACATAAATTGTCCTACTGATTCTGATTTCCTGAAAATCACATGATCGGATCTGAACATCCCTACTAAAAACGAGCTTGCTCTAACATGAACCAACTAATACTAAAAACAAAAACAGTTATCCAGTAGCAACAAAGCCAGGCCACTATTAGTCCGTGATTTTGTAGCCTGCTTTAGCTCCCTCAAACTAGCGTAGGCCACGTCGATGTTCTATGGTTTTAGCTCTTTGCTTCACCTTCAAAGACTTTATTCTCTTAATTTTACTTCCAGGCTCCACCATGATGCCAACACAAAAATCAAACTTGTTCTTTTTCTTCTTCTTGCTTTGTGCTTTTTATTGATGGTTGGCACACTGAAGATGCTAACCATTAGCATTACAGCTAACAACCGTTAAACGGGTAAAGAGCTCCCCCCAGAACACCTCCACAAAACTATCTAGTGTGTAGTGTGTGTACAAAACTGAGCTTGTGAAACAGTTGTTTATTCTTCATGATTATGAGGAATTTGAAGCAATTGTTTATTATAATTTGCTTCAGTTGTTCAGTTCATTTTGAGCTTCCATCACATCATTTTAATTGGATCTGAATTTTTTCTCAACCTGGTGTAGATTTGCTGCTGCGTTGGGATTGTTTTCTTATTGCACGACCCACTTTTTGGCCGAACTTAGTTGAAAATTGAAGTGCTTTTGGCTAAATCTGTAGCTGCTAGTTACCTGCTATTTCCTTTCAAGCGTGTTTTTCCACACACCATTTCTGGATTTTGGCTTGGCCGTGTTCAATAATTGATGACACAGTGGGATATGCCATGTGTTGTTGCATTTAGTTGCTGTTGAACAGTTTTGTGTTTCTTTGCAGAAAATCTTGCTTTTCTGTGGCTGTATCATGTAAAATTATTTATTTTCTCAGCAAATA